TTTTTTAAACTCTGTTATGTCTCTCTCTCTCTCGATACTTGATACACGTCTCTGCCATAACCTCTTCTTTTGGCAGGAAGACTTGAGCAAGCATCTGATATTAATTCAAAGCAACTGTAGAGCTGTGTTTTTTAACAGTGCGGACAAGAGTCAATTACGGAAGTGCAGTCTTCCATGCCCTCTCTCTATTCATTACTTCTACATTCTGCTCCCTTCTGCACTGCTTTTCCGTAGGGCCTGCTCAATGTATTGTCTGGCCGATTAAATCGAACAATATTAAATGGGCTTTCCAGCTGAAAACTAGCATGTAATATGTTATTTACTATGCTATGTAGCATCCTATGGTGTAGCATTGCACTCCTCATCGGTTTGACAGAATTCACAATATTGAGCTGTTTTCATGTTATCGTCAACAATTGTTTTTTCACTGCAAAACCCAGCATGCAATGCACAGACAGAAGTCACAATCACTGTGCTCAAAAAATGCTAACTGCTAGCTGCTAATTTTGCGGCTAAAAATACATCCGTGGTTCCATGTAGTGAAACAGCACAAATAACAATTGTTAAACCTCTTGCTTTAAAGACCACTTGGGCACCTCAGTAAGAGACCACTAAGAATGTTTATAACAGATGTAGTACTGGTTAAATGTTTCATTTTGGCCAGTTTCCCTTCACATGGATTTATTGGTATCGCTGATAAAACATCTGGCTTGTTTTATATTATCAGAAACCCAGTGCTCTAGTATGAGGAAACTCACACATTTGTGATTATTTTTAATGGATTTATGCTTTTATGCCAGTCTAACAATAACCAGCTGCTCACCTTTTACTATTAGAATATAGACTGAACTGGTAAACTGGGTACACAAAACACCATCATGAATGAAATAACAAAAAAACATGCAAAATGCACTCAAACCTAAATTTTAACTAAATGATGTATCAGAAATGTGAAAAAAAATTAATAACAATAAGAACAACTAAAAGGAACAAAGCTGATATATTACAATCACTACAATACTTAGACTTTGTACATAATACGTTATGATCTTGAGCTTGGTGACCTTCACACACTAATAATTATTTGTGATCATTTGCAACTGACAAGTGAATCATATCAGTCACTGTAACTAAAACTTTCGGAGTCTGTTTAATTTTTGACCAAACAACAGTGTATCTATCTGTCATTATTATCAGTTATAGGAATTTTTTAGCTTTGGTGACGACATTTTCATATCATTTGTGCTTTTTGGGATTTTTAGGATCCTCATTCTCTAGCTGGTCACCATGAGGTTTGTGTCCAGCTTGGCTAAGGACATCTCTTAATCTGCTAATGAGTCCAGCAGAGCCACATAAAAAAAGTAGTTCTCAGCCTGAACTGCTTGTCAGATTTCTACACACTTTTGATGCATTTCACTCTGTACAATAGGCTCTTCTTCTTACAGTAAAGTCTGGAAGGTTACCAAATATTTTGAAATAACCATTTAAACATCCCCCACATCTAAAAAACATGTGTATTGACTGAATACGCCTCTTATGCAAAACGCACACACACTCCTCAAATCATAGCCTTGTATCTCAGTAAGTGGCAAACAAACAGCCATCCATCTTTCATTCCCAAAAGAAGAGAGAGGAAAAAACGGAGGTAGAGATGGGGAGTGAGAAAGTGAGAAAGGAGGGTGAGGGAGGTCATTACAAAGATGGAAATGGAAAGAGATATAAAGGTACGGATTGAAAGAAATGGAGATAAAAGAAAGGCTAAGAAAAGTCAGGCATTTAAAACAGCACTCTGCCTGAAACGAAATAATTTAACAATGGCTACAGTTGTTGTAAACATGGCTACCTACCTTCTACAGTCATGCCATATAAATCTTCGGAATTAGGTCTGAATACTGAGTAAACCCATTCTCATGATGTATCTTGAAGGTGGGAGGAAATTATGAAAGACTACAAATGCTTTGGGGTGAAAACTATTTTGTATTTTTGCTTTTGCTAGCTGCCTAATGTCATAGGCCTAATGCAGAAGTAAGCCAGAGAGTGAACTTTAAAGCTACGATAACTGTCATGAAACAACCACTGCAATGAAGAGCACTGATTACTTGATTAACATGAAAATCGAGATAAAATGAAAAAGTTAGCTACCTAGCTAGCTAGATACCTTGCTTTAGTTTGTCTCCTTTTCTTTGACTTAACTTGTCTCTGGTGTCCATTTAGTGTTGAATACAGAGGGAATCACTCTTTTCTTTATTGTTTGCTTTGTTGGACATCCCAAAAATTCAACTTTCAAATCCGTTGAGTGGCCTTTAGCCCTCTGGATGCAGTCCCATAAAATACATCATATTTGTTTTTGTCATGTATTAACGCCCTTTTCAATGGTTGCTAACCACTTTTTGCAGAGTATGGCAATTTTTTCAGGGAAACAGTGAAAAACGTCTTTAAAAATTTAGTAGTCATTATTAAACGACCAACTGAGGAAAGCTACACCACTAAATCTACTTAG